ACAAAACTAAAAAAAAAAAAAAAAACAGTTACACATCAACTTGCATTGGGGCGTATACCATTCACCCACATGTGGTGGGGGGTAGAATTGGTACTTTGAATCGTTTTCTGAAATTGGATGTGACAAAAAAAAAATTTGAAAATTTGAAAACCTGTTTCCTGCTTTCCGATTTGACAGAGATTTGGGAGTCTCAATATTGCAACATACTTGATTGGTGCGGCTTTGCTAAGAGGGGAGTGGAAGGCTGCTGCAGATCTTCTTCTTAAACCGCGCGAAGGTGATATCCTTATCCCACAGACTGTGAGTGAGGGCAATTGGCATGCTATATCAAGGCCACTTTCAACATAGCTGACAGGACTATACCGGCAAGTCACCGTCACCCTTTTGCACGACTGACAACAATTACCTCCACATTTTCTAAGAAAGATAATCTGGTGTGTTGGTACAGTGGAGGAAACCCAGTTCACAAGTGATTTAGGCAGAAGGAGGGCCTGATTCTGCTTGCGGACTTTTTTTTTTTTTTTTTTTTTTTTTTAAATGAACGTTATGGTTCTGGGCCTTCTGCCTCCCTTTTCCATTCTGGGAAGCATCAGTCTGCCGCTTGCAAACCTTTTTGGTCCATTTTGGTCCATTTTGGTGCATTTTGGTCGATGTGGTCAACTTGGTCAGGGTCTATGGTACCAGAGTCGCCCGGCCGGGCAACCCGGGCAAACTTGCACGGGGGGTGACCCGCCCGGGGCACACGGGCGACACCAAAAAGCGGGTCAATTGTTTTCTTTTTATTTTATGGGCAGGGGGGCAATTTTGCGCCCACGGAGACGTGACCAAATCTGGCCTCTTTGAGTTTGGTGATATCTCACCATAGGGTGTCTATTTGGGGTATAAGGGGTGTTCGAAAGGCCTCGAAGGGGCTTCAAGGGGGCTAAAGGGGTATGGTATAAATTATTAAATTTTGTATTTTATTTTTATGTTCATTTTCGGGCAGGCCCAGACCACCAAACGAAACAGTATGCTCTGAGACGTGACCAAATCCCAGAGACCTTGTCCGGGACCTTGGCCGGGCAAAGTCCCGGTCAAGGTCCTCTTACAGTATGCTCTGGAAGGAATGATGTCATGCAGAATTCTCAAGGCAAAAGATGTCTAGTTGGCAATTCTGCATGACATCATTTTTTCCCAGATTTATTTATTTATTTTAATATTTATTTATTTATTTATTTTCCCGCTCTGGGACTGCCCGGGACTTTGCCCGGACCTGGCCCACCCGGGCCACCCGGACCAATCTGAGGCATCTCGGGCCGCTCGGCTAGTAATACAGGTCAGGGTGTCCTCTTTTTTTTTTTTTTTTTTTTTTTTTTGCGGAGGGGGCGGGGGGTGCGGCGGCTTGTACGTATATGTTTTCAAGTTTTCAAGTTTTCAAGATATAATTGCTCCTTGACGAAGTCCTTTATACAGAGCCCAGAGGTGTCCAGAGTAAGGCACAAGTATGCTCAAGATGGAGACATAGAAGCAGCATTAAGCCAAATGCCGAGCAATATGGTTGCTGAGCGAGCACTGGTATGGTATCTAATATCTATCATTCCTTCCCTCTTGGATGCATCGCTTCCTGGTCCCCCTTCTCTTTTGTCCTGTTGCCTTTTTTTTAATCGTTTGGCTTTTCCTGTCCTTTGTACGCATTATTAGCCCTTCTTTCTGTGTGGCTTAATCTGATAAAGATCTTTTTCCTTTTTCAAATTTTCAATCAACATGGAGAGGGTAGAATAGCTTGCGCGAAAGCTGGAGATAGCAATCCCGAACGCTTCAGATGCACCCCTATTTTGTGCTTTCGATACTCGTGAAAAGTGGATTGCCCATCCGCCAAGCCTCCTCGAATTGATTGGCATAAAACTCACCTCCGCGCAACCCCCCGGGTCCCCCCCCCAAAAAAATAAATAAATAAATTAATAATTTAAGAAATAAAAAAAATAAAAATAAATCACCAAGATGCGTGTGCAAGGAAGATGAGCAATAGCGAACTTCAGAAAGCAAACAGCATCATACACATGAGACCAGATAGTCGTGACCTCGAACCAATAGCAGAATTGCATCACGAGTTTCACCAAATAAGAGCACACCAAAAGCTCATAATTGACAATGCTGGAATAGTCTCATCATCATCAACGAAGAACCAATGTTGATATCCTATCTGGCGCTCGGCGCCCAGACTACAGATGGCAGATCCTATCTAGCCTACTCTACGATGCCGCTGATGACGTCAACAGCTCCCCGAAGTACGAGCAGATCTCGGACAATGCCGTACGTTTCAAGCACCAGGTATGTCTCTCGTATCACTCACAACCTCGCTCCCGAACTCACAGATGCCACAAGCACCCAAGGACCACCATGCGCCTTATCCAGCATACAGCAACACAGCTAGGCTATGGCTGGCTGCTCCTTCCAGCGCAGCAGCGCTTGCGCAGCATGCAGCCAGTGCGCGAATGTCCAATGCGTAGGCAGGCCCTTCTCTATATCGAAGTGGCCTCCTGCTGCGTGCGGTAGTGCGGTACTGGGTCCTGGCCCAGAAGCTTCCGGTAGGCCCCACGAGCCTGAGCCTCAGTTCGAAGTAAACAGGCCCAGGGCCTGTGGTGGTTACCAGCACCCAACTGCCCTCAGCCTTTGTTCGGTCCTCTTTGTGTATCCGGTCCAGGGCCTGCCTCAGTTACATGCGATGAAAGGCAGCCTGGGCCTGGGCGCTTCCAACCAACTGGCGCCGCTCAACTGCTTGAATTTCCCCAGTTGCATGGTGACCCCAAAATGGCCTGTAGGCCTCGGTCGTGCCTGCCTTCACTTAGGGCGGCCGACTGTGTGAAAAATAGGCTCTGTAGGGCAGATCGAGGCCCTGTGCCTCGCACGTGGACACTGGACTCTTTTTAAGTATATTCAGTATTATTCACCAAGACGTAAGGATCACCAAGATGTAAAGATGCACATAATTCACTAAGACGCTGTTCATTTGCAGGAACCCCATCCTTATGATTCCCAACAAGTGCATTGAACCTCACTGCTCAACACCTTGAGCACATAATTAACGGATGTCCCCAAGGACAGCATGTGAGTGCCTTGTTGCTGGTGTTTTTGCATGATCTTCAGAAAGAGAGGGAAAAAAGCAGGTTGAGGGGTTGGGGGGGGACAGCCCCCCACATGCATAATTTTCATCACTCAGAACCTTCAGAATTTTCAGGCCCCCTCCCACCCCTGAAAATACTGAAGCAAGGAGGGAGGGGGGAGGAGGTGGGTGAGGAGAGGGAGATAGCTTCATCTCCGCCTCCCTCCTTCCTTTCAGAATTTTCATCACTTCAGGATCTTCAGCCCCATTGCGCTGAAGATTCCTAAATGTTCTTTTAAAAAATAAAAATAAACTTTGTGTTCACGACCTGAGATATAGACGGTTCACCCCCCTACCGTCTTCACCCGAATAGAATGCCCGGTCATTATAGCTGTATTTGGGCCAACTTCCAGTCTAAATACAGCGATAATGACTAGGCGTTCTATTCGGGTGAAGACGGTAGTAGGACTGTGCGCATAAGCACTACCGGTAGGGGCTAGGAGCCTGGGTACCGCTCCCCACACAGAGCAGAGTAGACTCAACCCCGAGGGGATAGGCTCAACCCGTAACTCTAGAGGTAACTTAGCACTACCATAGCCAATCGATATGTTGGGTAGTGGCAAGTAGTTCTCCGTGTTATCTGGTCGCCCCGATCTCCCACATGCGGTCTGTGCTCCATAGGAGGCTCCAGTGGTCGGTTGGTCATTAATCCAGGCTGCTCCGCCGCGCTTGTGGCTCGCCAGAGTTGGGAAATTTGGTCACGTAGATCGACATAGATATGGGTAATTACCAAGTGTGAGACTTATTGAAAGAAGAAAATAGGGTACTCAAAAATACAACTGTCCCCCCCATATGAGGAGAATAGAGCTGTAAAGCTGCTGTATGTTTTTTTTTTTTTTTTTTTTTTGAAGTTTGGACGGTTTTGGACCATTTCTCGTTTTATGTGTGTCATCCTTCCGCAGCGGCCATGCTAATCTTCTCTCCATCATTCGGATTCATTCCTTTTTTTCTTTCTTTTTTTTTATAATTGTTCCAATTTAATGGCTGTCCCGAAGGACAGATTCCTCAATGTTCAGAAGTGATGAAACTCCCGAAGAAGGGGGAAAGCGGTGCTGCCATGTTCAAAATGCTGTCATGTTGGTGTAACAGAGGCTCCTTCTGGCTTGGGGAGCTGCGGCACGCTGCCATGGTGCATAGTTGTTATGTCATTATGATTAAACAGCCAGTCCATCCGAAGCTAAATTGACGAACCAAAAAAAAACATTGTACGGAGCCGGCCTTCAACCAGTACCTCGAACTGGCAGTAGCGGTACCGGTAGCGGTACCGGGCCCAGCAATGTCTCAACCGTCTAAGGTGGTAGCGGTACCAGCAATGTGTGTGACAAAAAGGATGGGCAGGGAGGCAGGCTCATCGTTGTGGCACTTTCTTTCGTATTGTGGGCCCACTAGCCCACCCACACAAAACCTCTACCAGGCCTGGGCACTGTATATTTTGAGTGTCATATCGTGGACATGGTTGAGATTCATTTGCTGTGATTTATTGTCATGCTGTGTGTGTGTGTTAATGCAGCCATGCTGATGTGCTGAACCCTTTTTTTTTTTTTTTTTGATGTGCTGATTCTGCTGAGCCATTACATTTGATACATTGGCTATTTGGCATGCTCATGTGTGATATACAAGGAGGAGCTGCTGTCAAAAGTATCGATAATTAACAAAAAAAAGAAAGAAAAAGTCCTTGGGTCGCAGGTTCGTAGTACTGTTTGACTGAGTCAGAGAGAAAGTCAAAGTCCTGGGTGAAACGTCGGGCTGCAGGGTCCTACGTGTCCATTACGTTGTGTAATGTAGGCCAGCAAAACAATGTGTACTATTCCCCAACCTCTAGTCGAATGTATTCACATTGTGATTCAGACTAGATGCCTGCTGTGTACGAGTTCATCCACTTACTCTTTCAAAACAAAAGAAAAAAGAATATGGGCAGCAGCAGTCCCCGATTATCGCTCTCGCTTTTTCTTTTTCTTTTTCTTTTTTTTTTAAAATCCAACTCACCATAGATTTTGCCTGTGCTACTGTATTTTCATTTTGCAGCTCTTGGGTCTTAAGAAATCTCCAAATAATTTCCTAGAGGCCATCAAATGCATTCCGAGGACCATGCGGACCATGTAAGTTGCTTTCACCCCCTTTCAGCCTCAATGCAGAAACAGTAGCATGACAGCCTGATTTTATTTTTTTCACTACAGACGTACGAAGTACTACACAAAATATTAAAAAAAAAAAAAAAAAAAAACACTACACAAAGCAAGTTTGTGGTCGTGTACCTCAATGACGGACTGATCCCCCCCCCCCTCCTCCTCTTCTTTTGAGCTGTATTCTTCTCTCAATCACTTGCCTTCACTACTTTCTCACCCCTCTTCCTCACACTACGATGAGTACGTAGAGTAACATGACATACTGCGTGACCAGTTGGGACGCCTGGTTCAGCTTGGTTGGCCAGGTGGCGCAGCCGAGCAAGGGCCAGGGAAGGTCGCTGTTAAAAAAAAAAAAAGTAAAAAAAAGTAAAAAAAACTGTGTTGTGGACAGTTGTGCAGAAAAAAAGTTAACAACTTTTGGCCCAGGGTCACATCGGAATTCTTTGCCAAAAAAAAAACAAAAAAATGAAAAAAACTTTGTTAGTCCCCAGGCGGCCCGGCTGGGGGAAGGTCGCCCGGGTACCCTCCCGGGCGGCCCGGACCGGGCAGGGCCCAGGCAGGGTTCCGGGCGATTCCAGCGCATAATATTCTAAAAAATAGAAAATAAAAAATTTTCAAAAAATTCCGAAAAAAAATATGTTGTGTAAAATTGCAATTCAAACGACTTTTGGCTGAGGTCCACCTCGAAATTCCTTGTTAATTTCAAGATAAAAATAAATGAGAAAACCCGTGTCCCAAAAGACTCCAAATGCACCCTTTTAACTTTTAAGCCCTTTAGTCACTGTTTATACCCCCCAACCCCCCCTGGATGACCCATCACCAAAACTGAAGTTAAGACCGGATTCTGACTGCTTGGGCCAAGCGCAGTCCTGGCCTGAAGTCTTTTTTTTTGGGGGGGGGGATCCTTGCCTCTTTTTTGACCCGTCTGGTTTTGCCGGGCGACCCCGCCTCTGCCCAACTGGCCCGGGCGTGCCGGGCCGGGCGACGGCCCAACGTAGGAAAAAAATAATTTATAAATTATAATATCATTTATAATTTGACAAGTGGAGAGTTGATTGCAAGGTAAGCCGGTTTGAATTCAAGGATCTACTCTTCTTGGTTTAAAAGCATACTTGCAACCGCACGAGCTGCACATTCGTGCGGACTTCCGTACGGAGTTCCGTGCAGGGGGTGCCTGTGCGGAATCGTGCAGGTTTTTTATTTTTATTATTATTATTTTCTCTTTTTTTGGGAGGGGGAATGGGGGGGCGTATGACAGGAAGATGGGGATATGGCAAGGAGAAGGGGATATGGAGAGGAGGAGGAGGATGTGGACGAGGAGGACGACGAGGATAGCCAGGACAACGAGGAGGAGGAGTCGAGATGGGGGAGGAGAAGAGATGGACGGAGGGAAAAGAGGAAGGGCAGGAGGAGGAGGACGAGTGGGAGGAGGAGGAGACATGGACGGTGAGGAAGGGGAGGACACGAGGAAGGGGAGGACACGAGGAAGGGAAGGAGACGAGGAAGTACGAGGAGGAGGAGGAGACAAGGAGGACGAGGAAGGGCAGGAGGAGGAGGACGAACAGGAGGAGGAGGAGGAGGAGGAGGAGGAGGAGACAAAAAGGAGAAGGGAGGAGGAGACATGGAGGATGAGGAAGGGGAGGAGGAGCAAGGTGAGTCAGTACTGTAATTTTCTTTTTCATGTCGCTTATAATTTTGGCGGGGGGGCTCAAACGCACCGTTTCGACCCCGGCCTTATTTTTTTTCTGAGGGGGGTGACGGGTCGTTCTCCGCACACGTCGTGCGCTGCACGGGATCAGTTGGGCGCGTGCACCGCACGTAAGGAACCGCCCGCACGACGTGAGCTTGCATGTATGTTTAAAAGGGGTTGTTCTGGAGAAAGTAGTCCAGACAAGATTGCAAGGTAAGGCAGGTTCAGTGTAGCATCTAATCATCTTGTTGGTTTAAAAGGGGTTGTTCTGGAGACAGTCTAAACCACACACACCACATATCATCATGATCAACGCCATTGCTCAAGTGCTAACCATAATGCGCACGGTTGTGAAACTGAGGTGAAAATGTCTTTGTCTGAATTTTGCTGTCCAGGTACGTGCACAGCTATCAGAGTTTCTTGTGGAACCATGCAGCATCACACAGGATCAACCGTTATGGTGCGTGGGAGCGCTTCTTATCTCTCTCCTCAGCCTCCTGTTTCAGGACACATGTGTGTATTGTTTGCCTTAACTTTGCCTTAACTGAAGTTACCTGAAAGAAGTTAATCCCTTTTTCTTCGGTTGATCCAGGTGCCTCGGACGTAGTGGTAGGAGATTTGGTGTATGAGAGGTCGGGAGAATCTCGTCCGTTGAAATTGCCGTTAACGGGCATAACTGCAGTGCACGGAGAGGAAGAATCACAGGCTGCAGGCGTTTCTGCGCTTGCTGATGAAGCGCCGGACAGTGCCATGACTGAGCAGGAAACTGGCATGCCTGCGGTGGCAAGAGGGCATCTTAGGGAAAGCCAGATTGCCCCACATCACCCAGCAGGTTTTGGTGGTGACACATCCGAGCAGCCAAGTAGTGTATCCAATGGATCGCATCTGATGGGGGATGAACAGAAGGAAGCTTTAACAGCAGAAAAAATGTCAGGAGGAAAAGGAGAGGCTGCTGCTGACAAGAAGGGCGAGGTAGTGACAGGAGTCTCTGAAAATTGTGCTGACAAGGATTCCGTGGAGGGGATTGATGAAGGGCTTGCCGCCGATGCAGTTGATGAGGCTAGCCTTGATTTTATGAAATCTTCACAGAACTTACGCGTCAAGGTAATTCTCTAACGTAACCCCCAAAATGTGTCATCCCCCTGTCATATGACAGGAAAAAAAAAAAAAAAAAGCAGCAGCTGAGGCTTCTTTGAAGTTCTTTTTCTGGAGTGATGATGAAGTAATCCAACACACAGTCCTTCAGATACCACCTTGGTATTGGATGTGTGCAGAGCACTGCAGATTGTCTTTGTAATTTTTACCCCTTGAGAGGAGGGCGCATGTGCATGTTTTATATGGTTATCAATGCTAGTGGCTTGTGCAAGTAATTTCGAATTTGGAATTTTCACCATGGTGGGTACCTTGCCTTGCAGAATAGCCCCTTCCTAAGCAGATAGTGGGGGGGGGAGTTGCCTTGCCTGCTATGTCCTGTGTCCTGTCTATTCGGATGTCCATCCTATAATAATTGTCCTACCTCGCTGTCGTCCGCTTCCTAAATGATAATTGTCCTACCTCATTGTCGTCTATAATAATTGTCCTACCTCGCTGTCGTCCTGTGTCCTGTCTATTCAGATGTCCATCCTATAATAATTGTCCTACCTCACAATTTATTGATCTGCTCCGTGGGTACCTTGCCTTGCAGAACAGCCCCTTCCTAAGCAGAGTTGGGGGGGGGGGGGGGGGGGCAGTTGCCTTGGTTGGATGGATGAATGAGGGAGGTCGAGTGTCCAGATGGTTTCGTGCCATTGGCTCATGGAGCAGATCAATAAATCGTTGTTTGTTCTTCTTGTGTCACCGTCACTGCCGTCCGCTGTTGTCGTTCTTGTCGTAGGCGCCGCCTATCATCATTGTCATCATTGTGACCGTTGTTGTCTTCGTCGTTCTCCTCCTCCTCCTTCTGTTGTTGCTGTTATCGAAGTCGTTGTCGAAGTCGTCTTCTATCGTCATTCTCATCATCATCGCCGGTGTGGCCTTCGTCCTCCTCCTTGTTGTGTCCTTCGTTGTCGTTGTTGTTGTTGTTGTTGTTGTTGTTGTTGTTGTTGTTGTTGTTGTCGGTGGTGGTGCTACTGATGGTGTTTGTCAAATATTGTTGTTGCGGTTTTTTGCTGGTCTTTTGTCAGTCGTTATTATTGCTGCAGTGCATATTGCTGTTACGACAGCAACTATCCGCCCTAGCTCAGTTGGTACACCTGTGAACTGTTGAAATACGATCTTGAGTGTGTGCTTGTGATTTTTGTTAAAGCTTTTGTCGCTGTTGTTATCTTTGCTATTCTCATTGTTGTTGGTCATCTCATTGACATAGTTGTTGTTGTTGTTGTTGTTGTTGTTGTTGTTGTTGTTGTTGTTCTTGTTGTTCTTGTTGTTATCCTTGTTGCAAATCCTCCCCCACCTCGTCCTCCTCTGCTTCCGCCAACACCGTCGCCATCACTGCTGCCATCGCTGACACAACTCTCCTGCTCCTGCTGCTCCTTATGGCTACTGCTGTTGTTCATTCTTGCGCTGTGCTTCTTCCTGGTAATTGTGATTGACTGTTGTTATGGCGAACAGCATGTGACAGAGGAAGATACGATTCGAAGACTGTACACCATTGAGGACGTGTTGCTTCCATTGCCAGGGTAAGGTTGGCACTTCTATCCATGTGATGTAAAGATCATGCAATGAGCCTTAACTCACGAATGACTCAACATTCAAGTCTTCCCAGGATGCATTTGACTGAGGGATAAGGACTCACCACGTCGCCCCGGGGAAAAGTGGTCGCCTTTACTCACACCAACCCTCTGTGTGTGTGTGTGTGTGTGTGTGGAGAGAGAGAGAGAGAGAGAGAGAGAGAGAGAGAGCTTGTGATGCTACATTTCCAGATATCATGGAGGAAGACAGTGGGAGTTATTCTGCCTGACAGAACAGCTTCTGGGCCCAAAACTGAGAACCCAAGGGAGTTGGTCGGTCCAACACATTGTCTTGGACCCCCCCCCCCCCTCCCCCCCTCCCTCTCTCTCTCTCTCTCTCTCTCTCTCTCTCTCTCTCTCTCTCTCTCTCTCTCTCTCTCTCTCTCTCTCTTCTTTCTCTCTCTCTATCCCTCCCTCCTTCCCTCCCTCTCCCTCTCTCTCGCTTTCTCACACACACACTGACATGCACACAAGCCCCATTGTTTGAATCACTCACTCACTCTCCATAGTAGAGTCGATACAACCAAGTGTGACTTTAGGTTGTGAAGTGAGCAGCTCAAGATCTAACGGACATGTTGAAAATGATTAAAAAATCCCGAAAATCCCTAAAATGGGCAAAACAGTAAAATACAAGAATGAGGTCGAACGGTTGCTTCCTTTCAATCACAGAAAAGAGACGAGCCAGACTTAACAATTCTCAGGACATCAAATTGATAATCGTTTATCAATTTGATTTCCTTATCCCAAGCCTTCTTCCCCCAAACATAGCGCCCAATCATCATGAACATATACAAACCCTGTTCCTGTCCAAATACAGTCATATTGCTGGGGCATTCTGCTCGGGGGAAGAAGACGTAGAAATAGTATAGACTGCCAGCCAGATATAACTAAGTACTAAGAGAAGGCTGGCAAACTCATATGTATGGGTAGCAAAGATACCAAGTTTTCCAACCAATCGGCAAAGCCCGATAATATATATAATATTATGATTTTAATTAACTAAATGAATTTAATTTATTAAATTATTAATATATTCGCTACATATTACGTAACCCTCTTCTTGGACATGTTTCTATTTTTAGATTCCAGGAAAACACAGCGAGAAACGGCCAGCCCGAGACTCTTTTCCTCCGGCATGGAGACACTTTAAAGTTTAAACCGATCATGTAGTGATGGGGTGATTGTGATACGGTGAGTACTTAAGAGGCTCCAATAGAGCCACCAATTAGGGATGGACGCACTTTAAAGTTTAAACCGCTCATTCGATCATTTTTTTGTTTTGTTTTTGTCTTTTTTTTTCAGTTAACTTTCCCGTACGTGAGGTATACTGAATACTGAGTAAGTTATGGTTCTGGTGACAGTCTAAAACACACAACCACGTATCGGACTGGGATAAACAATGAGAGGAACACCAAAAGGGGGGAAAAAAGAGCAAAGAAAAAGGAGAAGAAAAAAGGGTTCTGTGCATTTCCAATTTTCCATTCTTCTTGCCTTCCATCCTTCCCCTATTGCGCTATTTTTTCCACTCAGCAAACTTGGACCGGTTGATTTCACAGGTGGAAAAAATAGCGCAATAGGGTCTGTAAGGGTTCATTTAAGCTGATTTAACTTCCCCTACTGTCTCTTTGTTTCGCAGGTATGTGCACTGTATGGGTTCATTTAAGTTGATTTAACTTCATTACCATGTGCAAGTATGTGCACTGTAGAGTCTGTACATACTTCATACTACATAATACATATACATGTAATATCTCATGTATACATTTTCCCACCATGTGCTGCAAGTATGTGCACTGTAGAGTCCATGTAATATGTCATGTATACATTTCTCCTCTGACTTGCTATGTTTGCGTACTTGCTTCATTTTCTTCCTTCCTTCCTTCCTTGTTCTCAGGGCCTCGACGTTACTGCCTGCACATGAGACAGCAGATATCTACACGGAGATGTCAAAAAAGGTTGGAGTTTTGTCTCTGTTTTGACCTGGGAGGATTTTCTGTCAGATAAACGGACTCCGATTGTTTTTTTTTATTTTTTTATTTTTATAATGAAAACAGAACCTTACGGTTCTGGGCCTTCTGGCTGCTTTTTTTTTTTTTTCCCCTTTCGGTTCTGGCTCCATGTGACTCGGATGCGGTTCAGGGTTTGTGATCGAGTGAGTTTGAGATTGTGTGGGTCGTTTCACTTCATGTATGTGCATTTCGCCACTTCATTTGTTCGCATGGCATGTATGATTTGATTGTTCATGTGGCTAAATGGTACCCAATAGCACCATTACCACACACATGTCATTGTTAATAAACGGAGACTGTGTTCCAATCCTGAGTGGGATTCCTGATCGGTGGGATCAAAATTCATCAAATGGATATGATAATAATGTTGTTAATTGGATGGAGGTTATACAATAATAATAATTATAATATACATTAGCTGATAATAATATATTAATAATCAGTAGCTTTTAGGGAGTCGATCTGATAAGATGAGAAGTTGAGAACCAAAGGCAGGCCTAGAAGTTAGAACTGGTGGTGAGGAGAAACTTGAGAAAAAATATATATATATATATATATATATATATAGAGAGAGAGAGAGAGAGAGAGTCTCTCTCTCTCTCTCTCTCTCTCTCTCTCTCTCTCTCTCTCTCTCTCTCTCTCTCTCTCTCTCTGTGGGTGTAATTCCAAGAAATTCGTGGTTTCTTGTCCAAGAAACCGCGAATTCGCGTCGTCGTGCGCGCCATCTCGATTTACACCTTTTGACTCCTCGCAAACCGCTCTCCTCAACTTCGTCAGCTCACGTCGCCTACTGTCACCGAGTACCACTGCTCGTTGGATTGTGCCCCCGCTCTCGCGCTTCCACGACTTTGTGGTTTCTCGTCCAAGAAATTCCTCGGTAATTTTATTGCTGCTCAGGCTAGCGGCTGAGTGTAACATTGTTGTTTGTGTCAGATTGCTTCCTCGTTGGGTGGATTGCGTGAGTCGTTTGATGTGGGGAAAGGTGTCTTCTATTCGGATATGAGAGCTCTGCCTTTACATTTGACGAGGGTCGTCATCTCTTCGTGGTACTTGGGTGAATATTGTATCCAGATCGACGTGCATTTACCAACCTTCTCTCCGGAGCTCGATGTATTAGTTAGGTGATGATGATGGAAATCCCGTGGGTCTGAGTGTGTTTGCTATTACTCTCCGCTCTCGGAGGTTCTTTTTGGGCTTCGTAATTTTGTCTGGCAAATGTGCAGGAAAAGTCCGGGCATGAGAGATTGAATGGTGGTTAGCTGTTAGGATTCTTCTTCATGGCGCTATATTGTTCGTTCTTTTCATTTTCAATGTAACAAGCAACTGAGTGTTTACCAATATCCACGACGGTCGGTTGAAGTCACAAGACACTCGTTCTCAAAATTGGATACATAGCAATAAGCAGTTGTAAGCTCCGTTTGTATCAATCTGCGGTCATTGGAGCATTTAAGCGGGAGCCGCGGTTTGCGGTTTTTGGACATCTTACATGCTATGGTTTTCCGCACTGCGAACGTTTAAAAAAAAAAAAAAAATTCTGAGTAGGAAAAAAACGTTCAGAATCTTTAAAAAACTTTCAGAATCTAACCTCTACAGTAACCTGGGATTTTGAAAAAAAATTCTAAAATTTGAAAGACAAGGTATGCCAAAGAAGAAGAAGAAAAAAAAAAAAAAAAAAAAAAAAAGGTATACCAAAGAAGACGGATATTACGAGGAAAGAAAGGGAGCAAATTCAAGAAATATCTAGCCTGAGACGTAGGACAAGGGTGGTGTTCTGGGGAAAGGGATGCACCAGAAAGAAAGGCATACACCAGTGGTAGGGACGGCTACACTAGAAAGGGATATACTAGAACGAAGATATGTGAGGGGAAAAGGATGCACTAGAAAGAAGAAACAATCATGGACGCAGAAAGGCCAAGTTCAAGGGTGCTGTTAGGGAGAATAGCATTAAAATCCTGAAGTAGGTTCACTTTGACGAGAGTGCATTATATTAAATAAATAATAAAATATCGAATATATATATTCTGAATCTGCATTACCAACCGGGCTGCCTGGGTGACCTTGGTTGCCCGGGGAGCCCAGCCGGGCCAGGAACAGGGAAGTGTCCCTGTAAAAAAAAAAAAAAAAAAAAAAAAAAAAAAAAAAAAAAAAAAAAAAAAAA